ACAGCTCCTCTATGCTGGGTCTGGTCTGAGTTCTGCCTTTTTGAATTATTATTATTGTTATTTTTATACTAATCTAAACCTACACAACAGGTTTAGATTAGTGAGTGTGTGTATTCACATTTCTATTGTTATAATGATAATAAAATCACTATTATGGTGGTTCAGTCATTAATATCACTAATAACAATAACAAAAAACAAGTGTGTAGAAATGTATATCTATAGTTAAAGTTTCACCAAGTTAAATCTTGCAGAGTATCAGGAGAACTATAGGTCACACTGTCATCCTCTCTCGCCTCCTTTGAAGCACTCAGCCTTCCTGGAGTCTTTGAAACCCTCCATCTGTTCCAAAGACTCCAAACACAAAGCTCAGTTTCACAAAACCTTGAACACCTTTGGAAAAAATAAAGAAAAGAAAAACTTCAACCATGCCGGAACAGTTTTATTTATGCTCAAAACCAAATAAATGTTTCAGATCACACACACAGCCAGTCATATTAAAAACACAGCTGACCAGCGATCGCACACCAGATCAAGTAAGAAGGACGTGCGGCTGTTCCCCGTGGTTGGATTAGACTACTGTGGGGTGGCTGTAGCTCAGGTGGCGGAGCAGGTCAGCCACTAATCAGAAGGTCGGTGGTTCGATCCCAGGCTGCCTCCTGGCTGCATGCCAAATATCCTTGGGCAAGATACTAACCCCGTGTTTGCCTACTGGTGGTGGTCAGAGGGCCCGGTGTCCGGCAGCCTCGCCTCTGTCAGTGCGCCCCAGGGCAGCTGTGGCTACAATGTAGCTTGCCTGTGTGAATGTGTGTGTGAATGGGTGAATGACTGAATGTAGTGTAAAGCGCTTTGGGGTCCTTAGGGACTAGTAAAGCGCTATACAAATGCAGGCCATTTACCATTTAGACTAAAATGGCAAAAAATATGAAGTAAAACAGAAACAACCCCCCTCCCCAGCTTCCTCTGTCAATACAAAGTGATGAAACATCAGGAAACAGTAAAAGTGGCAACAGAGGATCACCAATGCATGTATATGCCTCATACTATAATTTTCTTTTGAAAGTGACCATGTTTTCTCATAATTATATGAAGGATGACTCAAGTAAACATCATCTTATATAAGAAAAATGTAAAGGACACTTTTATGAAAAAAACCCCAGGTTTTATGTAAAATTGCTGTTCTGGAGCCGGCTCAGCAGCAACAAGTGTGGACAATTTTGAGTTGCTGTGTTTCAGAAATGGCATCTGTGTTGTGGTTTAATTTGGGCCACCTGTTGTTGTCATTACGCATCACAAGTGAATCACTGCGTAAAACGTGCTTTGTAAAAGGTTAAAACAGATCTGCAAATTGTGTCTAAATGCAGCTGAAAACTGTTCGAGGTGATTCATTCAGTGAAGTGGTTTAGGAAAAAACGGTGAAACTCAGCCCACAATCTCAAACGGGGACTGAGAGACATGAAATGTGTTTACGAAAACATTATTACATTAAGACAACATGTATATATACCTGTGACTTCACTGGGTATATTTTGCTTATGTGAATTTGAACCCACTTTCAGCTTCTAGGCATCTTTTCTCTCCCTGTTTGGATTTAAGATTAGGCTTTTTGATAAAGCATTTAGTTGTGGCTGGATCAGGTCACCCTGAATCCTCCCTTAGTTACATTGCAATAGACCTAGGCAGTTGGGGGCTTCCCATGACGAGTGTTTCTTTTTCACTCACTATGCATTTAATCATTAGCTAATTTTAATCACTGGTACTCTTCCACAGCTTGTTTTTGTCCCAGCTTCTTCCCCTTAACCCCGACCGGTCGTGACAAATGGCCGCCCCTCCCTAATTCTGCCAGAGGTTTCTTCCTGTTAAAAGGGAGCTTTTCCTTCCAACTGTCGCCAAGTGCTTGCTCATAAGGGGTAATTTGTTGGGTTTTTTCTCTACTTTCTCTGTATTCGTGTAAGGTCTTCCTTTTGAGATTTTGGTCCAGCATGCTTCAAACAGTTTCCTGTTTTCCCGCAACATTCCTGTTCAGAGTGACTGATTGATTGAGATGAGTGTGGAGGACAGTTGAGTACTTGCTGTCATGTTCAAGTAAACAGAGATGACCTAGAAATAGCAAATTGGGTCAAATTGTGTTCAATGTGTTATACACTCAGAGATGCTCTTCTGCCAACTTGGTTGTTGTCCACAAGGCCATTCTCCTGTGACTTCTGACATCACAAAGGCACTTTGGCCCACAGGTTTGTGGCTCACTGGACATTTTTCTCTTTTTTAAACCCCAGAGACAGCTGTGTTGGAAAATCCGAAAAGATCAACAATTTCGATAAAATAGAAGTAAAAAAACCATATCACGTTCAGTCTCACTTAAATAACCTTTCTGCCCCATTATGATGGTCGGTGTGAACTTTAGCAGTTTGCCTTGACCTAACAATCTTTATGTTGTGCCTATGTGGTTGGCTGATTTGATATTTGTGTTAACGAGCAGTTGAGCAGCAGGAGCATACCTAATGAAGTGTCAGTGTATTGGGAAAGCAAAATAAAGAAACCTAAGGAGCTTGCTGTAGCCAGGCTGATCATAGTGGGAGATAGAGGGCTTCTCCTCTCACCTCCTGCCTGTGACCTGGAAATCAATCTCAGTGCCCCACACTGAAGTGTGTCTCAACACTTTAAATGCATTTGGAGAAGAGAGGAGGCTAACCAGAGGATATATAATCGAAGCTGCACAGGTCTATCCTCTACAGCAGTACTTTCAGTTTATACAAAAGATGCTGCAATATACAAACCAGGGTGGAAGGACTCACTAAACAGCTCATCTTTGCATTCATAAATTGTTTTAGTTAATTAAGATGGTCACACTTTCAGCTTTTTAAGTGTTCCTGTGTGTGTGATTAAAAACAAGGATAACATTTATATATATGCCATATTTTGAGTTTAATTAAAAGAGGTTCCAGACAGTCGTGAGCTCAGTTACACCTGAGATATTAAAACATAGCTGCAGTGTTTATTATTACAAAATAATATCAAGCATCACAGTTAACTGACACTGCTTTAAATTGCTGCTGCTCCAAGGCGAGGGCGTCTCATTTCATTAAGCGACCGTCTCTTGTTCAGCTCCTCTATTTCCATCACTGGTGAGAGAGAGTAAGATGCAAGGAGAGGAATCAGGGAAATGAGAAGCTTTCATATCTGAGCACACTGGGCTCAGGTGTAGCTCATGCAGCTAATTGCCCTCCAATCAGCTCCTGCAGGACAAAACAGGGCACAGCACAAAACAACAACACAGACGCCACCTAACCTTTCAAATTGCACATCCTCACTTGGTCTCTTTGTGTCTCTGTGCTTTCCTTTAAAGATGTGAGGAAGCCCAATAAAGAGAGAGGAGATGAGACAGCAGACATGTAACAAAAATGAGACATCCTTCCCTTGGAGAATCATTTTTAAGCCTAAGCAAAACAGGTTTTTTTTATAGCTCAACTGCAGTTGTTTTTTTATGACCACACAGCTTATCACAGGTGACTCCTCCCTTCATGGTTTGTACATTCCAGCTGTGTTCAACACCTATTTTCACACATCTGTGCAGTATTCATCTTATCGCTTCCTACAGTGGATAGCTTCTTTCACTTCAAGATGTGTTTTTGAGTGACATCGTTCAGCATTGAGCTACTGAGATTAATTTAAGGGTCACAAGCAGGAGGGAGATGAGGAGGTGAAAATTAGATAAAATAATAATAATTAGTTTCATTTTTGAACGATTCCAGGTTTCCTGTTGATCCACATGATGATGGTACCAGTCAGTAAATGGTTTTGAATTAAAACAGTTAGATAAATATGGACATTAGGATTAGGATGAATGAAAGTGGGCAATATGATAATTTTATGATCTCCGTACACATGAAACAAGTCATAAAGTGCATTAATACTTAATATAGTTGGTTTTAATGTCCTTTGGTACTGTATTTCTCTTGTTTTTAGACATGTAATGTCCAAAAATGCAGCATTTTAATGCTGAAGACTTGAGGAAATCTTAAACTTAAGGCACAGTAATTTGCAGCGATCATTATTTTCACACCTTTGCAGACTGAGATGTCCGTCAATTTTGTACTTTTCACCAGGTTGTTTATGCTGTGATATAAGAAACTTGGGGGCTTCAGCAGTGTGTCCTTTAAAGCCACCTGCAGCGTGCACATATAATGCTTTCATTGCAGCGCTTGACCCTGGACTTTAGTGGCCTGACAATCAGACTCTCTTTGCTCTCTTTGAATGTTGAGAGAGTGATGATTCAGAGGTCTAGACCGTCGTTCAGTCCTTATTTGACCTAAGTATATTTTGCTTGATGCAACCATATGATTACTTGTCCATTATGGCTGAATTATTGTAAAAAAAGTGGACATAATTAGCTGTTGAGCTTCCTTTTAACATTTTAACTTCTTTACTTTTCAATCTAATCTAAATATGCACATACTGAAGGCTTATTTTAGAAGAAATAGTCTAAGACTTGGATGGAGAAGGCTTAAGATCACAACCCTTAATCACTGTCTTGGTCATGGGATGTCATGTAATTTTAATAGGCAGCCTGTAGCTCATAAAATCACAGAAGCCTGTGGCATTTGTCCCCGTCATGTCATTACTTCTCCCCCAGCAGATCCGTGATAAATGAAGTCTTTAAAGAGCAAACAGTCCCACATTAATCAAAATATTGAGAGCTGAAAATCTGTCCACAGAAATGGTCACGCATGAGGACGTTACATAATAAAAATTAAGAGTATTAAGAGAAACTTTTTTTTTAATCTATGTGTGAACCTGCAGATAATGGAGGAAAATAAAGTGGTTTTCTTTTCTCCATGAAAGGATAAGAAGCGAGGTATAATCAGCCTCAGGCTATTTTACATAATAAAGCCAAGACTTAACATTTCTGTGCAAGTATTTTTTTTAATCATAAAAATCCGTTTTATTTTGAAAGATAGAACAGGAAGTCTTATTTTGAAGCCTCCCTGCCTAATTGGATACTCCTGAGTAAATTGAACGGTCACCAGGCGTCCCTGTTTGTACTTGTTTATTTAGCCAATTCTCGCATTACTGTTTAAAACGATGTCAGAGAAAATGGAGGTTGACCTGACTGGAGTCAAACAAAGTAAAGGCGTGTGGCTTGTGAAGGTTTGTTTACCTGAAAATGATCAAATCACGACGTCATTTCATCTTCACAGACGTTCACAGGTGTTATCAGTTTATTGGTAACACACAGGCACTTCTTTGAAAAGTGATTTTTTTTTAAAATAATTCACCTTACTTAAAGGTGTCGACTTGATCGAAGGATTGAAGCTACAGAACTTTTATTGCGCATTCATGTGGCGTGAAAATAATCGGAAAAACGAGCTTCCGGGTGCGGGTAACTTCACATGAACTTGGAAAAACGTTTTTTGTTGTTGTTGTTGTTGTGTTTTGTTTTTTAAGAAGTGCTCGTACTTATTGTTTTACGCTAGGTGTTTAAGCGGAATATGTTTGTGTGTTTGTGACCAAGAGAAAAAACAACTGAAGCATTGACTTTGTGCATTCACGTGGTATCGTAGTAATGGGGAGGGAAAAGATTAGCCCACTTGGAAGAATCGGAGCAAGATTTTAAGCTGTCCTTTATCAATATCTAAGTCTAATAAATATTTCTTGCAATACAAGAAGTACAAATAATTGTGACTTGAGAAGAAAATAAAGAGAAAAGGAATGCATATGCTTGATATTCAAAATAAATTAGAGGATGGCTTTGTGACTTATTCCCTTGGTTATTCATTGTTTAATTCCTTAACGGGTGAGCACTTCTCTCACAGATCATCTGAATATAAAATAAAATTTTAAATGACTGCAAATTTCCAGTAATAAAATAAAACATCTGTTTTCTGTAAATGAATCTTAATCCCAAATAACACATCAAAGACATTTTCTCCCTCAGTCCAGAAAGTTTAAGATGAAAACATTCATAAAAATAAGTATAGAAAATGTAAAGATAATGATGTTATACTCAAGAAGTGGTTTCAGCTTTTCGTCAGGTATCTTGGACTCATACCTCTGGGATTACATCAGAAACTGTGTTGTTTTCCAACTTCAAGGCGGCAGCTAATGGTGCTAGCTCCCAGTGCATGTGATACTTATGATTAGAACCCTTTGATAAGGGGACTAAACTAGCCATTTGATCATCTATCGATATCTGTATTTAAAACAGCAGCAATGGGAGAAACGTCCTTCAACCATGCTATGACCGCCAATGCATAGTTCACCCTAAAGATGCACATCGGGTGTGTTATTGCATTTAACCAGGACAAAAACAAAGTGACAGCAGATTATTTTAATTCATTTTATTTCCCTATACCTACCACCTATAGATCTCAGTCAGTAGGAAAAATATCAGCATATAAATTGGTCAACTAAAATTCAGGTAAACGCAACAGCCAGAAGAGCAACTCCCCCAAACATGAACGCACTCTTCTTATGATGCCTTTAAACTGGTGCATTTCTCTCCAGGTTCCCAAGTATTTATCTCAGCAGTGGGACAAAGCTGCAGAAAAGGGAGAAGTTGGAAAGATTGCCATTGGAAAGTAGGTACCTCAGTGTGGATGTGTCCATATTAGTTTTTAGTGTTAGTGCTGCAGTGATTAGCTGATTGTTCAGCAGCTGTTTTAAAAAGTATTTTTTTAACAAAAATGGCAGTTTTTGAATGTTTATATCATCATCATCATAAACTGAATCTTGGCTGTAGCTGTGGGAAAATTGTAATTATTGACTTATTGAGATTAATGAAATGTTAAATTATTCTGTTTTCTCACAATTCCGACAGGAAGCAAGGCAAAACAGAGGTGAGTCAGCTTTGGATGATTTGGTTTGTTGGTTAAATGTTTGAATAAAACACGCTGGTTTTTAACTACAATGAGATGACCTTTAAAGGCCTTTCCGCCTGTTTTCTTCCTGTTTTTTAGATCAGCAGGAATGGCTTGTTTCTAATGATATACACACCTTCATACTAAATCAAGTTAGTTTCATATTTTTGGACATGGGTATCATTTTTAATATTTAACTTGTGTACCAAATATTTGCACTTATCTTGTGAATTAATGACTTAAAGTGCAGACTCTGGTTTAATTTGAGGGTTTTAGGAATTACACCTTGTATAAGAAAAATTAAAAAAATATCACAAAGTTGAAAACAGTTTTCTTGTTGGTGTCAAGTGTTTCAGGCTTCAGGTATTTATCGCCTGCAAAAGGTTTGTCAACAAAGTATTAAAAATAAAGGTTTTATTACCAACGTGTAAAATATTGTGTTTAAAATGACTTTAAAAGTTAATGCAATATTGTTGTTGAGAGTCTGCCCGTCATTTGAGCTGAAACTCGATTGTTTTTTATCTGCTGTGATGGCCTACAGAGCTGGAATGATTAAAATCGTGTCACTGTCCAAATATCCGCAGTCCCACCTATATATTCTATATTTAAAATCAAGATTATATCACAGCTAGCTTTGTGTAATTTTACTCTTTCTTTCTTCTATATTACATCCCATCACTGTCTGCTGCTGCTCTGACCCACCTCCCTCTGATGGATCGATATGATTTCAGTGCATCGTGTTTGACCTCCAGCTTTGTTTCTCAGGTATGTTTCAGCCTCAGTGACGAGCTGATAGCCTTGGATGCTGTGGGGGAGAACGATGCATCACTGGAGGTCCCAAAGGATCATCCCTTCACAATGCACCCAGTGGGTGGACAGACCATGGCAGTCTTCAGCCACAGTAACACAGGTCAGTCTAAACCAGCTGTTCCAGCCCTCGTCTCCGTGCTGCTTTCGTGCCGGATCATGAAGCCATCTGGATCATGTTTGGTAGCTGGCTCGAGTGTTCAAACTGAAATAGATAGACAGTGCATGTGATTCCTGCAGGGTGGTGCATAATAAAGTCGAGAAAGATCGGCTTTGATATAAGAGGGAGAAAATATAAAAGTTCTGTTTTATTTAATAATTAAAGAAACTTTTTTTGGTTTTGCTTTCAATACGACCGAATCCTTCCTGCATATTCAGAGCAACAACTAAACAATCGTGATGCTTTTTTGTTTGTAGTGTTCGTAACAGTGCACATAAGGATTCCTGAATCAGCCTACAAGTGTCTTTCCACTTTTAAGAGGTTATTAAGAGAGAGGTGCAGCAGAGGTGGAACAAACGCGTCTTAATTTTGACCAGGAGATTGACTCTGGGGCCGTTAGACTTCTTTTAAATGAGACCCACTAAGGCCATTTCCAGCTCTGTATTTTTATTCTTGGATTCTATTAAAGTGCTTTGCATAATTCACAGTTTTCAGATTTAACAATGTTATACAAGGCCTTGGTGCAGTCCTGTTTTAGCTCTTGTTTTAAGGAGACCCTTGTTTTTCAGGTAGCTTTCTTTTTATTGGCTGCTACTCACAAGCAGAATTGACTTGGCTGGTGAGTTATTACGCACTCATTAGCTGGTTCCAGCTTCCATGGTCACCGTCCCACTGTCTGTATCCACACTTTTCCTGGGGCTAGTTCATCCTGCCCTCCAGTTCTTCTTACAAAAAGCGTCCCACTGTGCTTTTCATATACCACACCCGGCCACAAGCCAGCGAGCTGTTCTTCTTATGCATTTAAAGTTGGAGAATAGATTGAGATTGTTGAGGCTCAAAGACCTCTAGTCATTTACTTTGCCCAGTAAAACAGAAAGACTTGGCTCCAGGGATCCTGAAGGGAATCAGTTGCTTGAGAGATCGATTAGTCTTTCACTTCAAATCAGGTCAGGGGAACAATTTGCACGTCAGGACCACTTTGGGTCTTCACCAGAGCCTGGCTTTGCAGAGTTAGGCGAGAATGTAATGCGTATGGAGAATTCACAGCAAGCAAGTAGGCATCGTGCGCACTGCCTCCTGTGAGCTGTACCCAGACAGCAGCTTCATCTAAACCTCAGCTAAAGTGAGACCACCTCTGTGCAGACTTGATTTTATCTGTTATCTGTTATCTGGAGTTCATGTGTGACAACAGCTTAAATTAGGTTTAGTTACAAAAACAACTATGTTATGGTTAGGAGAAGTTTAAAATACAATTTTTTTTTTTTTACTCTGTTAAAATGTTTAGAAAGCTCAATTTTCAAGGTCAATGGGGCGCAGAGTCGTTTTCTGAGGTAGCGTTGTCTGATTAAGAAAAGAGAAGTTGTTGTATAATCAGAAAAACAGGAAAAATGTGGTTTAGATCCAAGGCAGGCATCAGCATTAGAGTAGCTTCCTTGCACACTTGCAATATATTATGCTAATGCTGTGGAATGAGTTCCAGTCAAAGCAACCATAAAAGCCATTTTCTGGTTCCTCTAATTGTAAAGTATTGATCGATCGGAGAATAGAAAGAGAAAAGTCTTTGAGCTGCCATGTTGACGACTAATATAAGGGGGAAGAAAAGCTGGGAATCTACTCAGGATGTGACATTTAAGTAGCCTTCGAGTCTCTTAGGTTTACTTGCACTGATGGAAAGCTGTTTTTGATATATTCTACACTGATTGCACTGTAAAATTCATGAGGATACTCGGAGAGCGGCTTCTGATTTGTGGAGGACGTTCGCTGCCAGGCACGATGTGTCATACCCCGTCTGAGCCAAAGGGATTTGTCGGGATTTGCATCAGACCAAGGGCTTAAAAATAGCTGCAACTGTATGGTTTGGTGTCTGGGAGTGTGTGAACCATGAATTACAATAGATTAGAGTGTTAATTTTAAAGGGATAACTTTAATTTAACACTTGAACAAGTCGAGTGAATCAAAAGTAAAGAACAATGAACTGGATTTTAATTAACATTTCTAGGCAATACAAAGGGGAATAACTGAAAGTTAAATTATTAGAAAATGGAAAGAAAAGCTCCCTGACGTGGAATAAAATTTTTTTTTCTCAGTTCAGTGAAAACTTCCATTTAGTGAAAAGGTAAATAAATGGCAGGGGGTGGGGTGCTCAAATCAGCAAAATATCAAGAGCAATTCTGCAGCTCCCAGGGTGCCGGTGCTCAGTAACAACGAAATAACTGTTTGTGGTGGTGGTGGTGCTTTTTTTGTTTTGTTTTGTTTTTTTTTAAACCCCGATAAGGGGGCACGCATTTGGGTGGTGGTGTATTTCGAGCGCTCCCCGGGCGTTACCAGATTAGTTTTGACTGGAGACCAGAAGTCTGTCCAGAGTGGAAGGTGTGAATCCGAATGGAGCAGTGAATACATTTCGTGGGCAGTTTGGAGAGAAAAAGAACTTTTTTTTTTTTTTTTGTGGGGGTTTTTTTTTCCCCAGCAACACGACAGATAAAGCTTTTTTTTTTTTTTTTTTTTTTAATATTACATTCTACAGCAAAGAAACAGAACAGAAACACCTCACCGCAAGTAAATTTTAACTTAATCTTTGAAGATATTTTCAGAGCACTAATTGGAAAAACAAAGTTTTAATGCTTGGTTACTTTAATGTAGGGTTACTGCAGCTCCTGACCCTTTTCTTTTGGACTTTGAAACCTGAAGTGATACCTGAACATAAATATAACAAAAAAATATTACGGGTGAAAGCCTGAAACTTTTACTGGCTTTTCTCACCATAAAAATGAACCAGGGGACAGATACCTAAAAAATATCTGAGTATTGACTAGATAAAATACAGAGTTGCATATTTGAGTGCACACTAATAAAAAAAGGACAATTTCTGAATGGTTTACAGCTTTATTTATAAAACACACAGCGTACTTTCTTAATCACAAAATTGAAGAAAATATATTGAATTTAACCTTGAGATCCACTTTATAGACAAGCATATTCCCCTGGAGGAGTCTAATAATTCAGGTTAAGATTAAAATGTACTAAGAGGCATTAAAACGCACATATATAACAGTTGTCATATGTACAAATAAATAAATAAAAACCATTAAGCGTAATGAAAAAAGAATTAGTAACTCATTTCATGTGAGTAGCCTTGCAAGGTCTACTTGCCGTGTTCACATACTGCGATTAGGAGCCTGTATTATTGTAGGGTAACAATCCTACAGTAATACAGAGAAAACCCTAACAATTAGATGGCCCTCTCTAGCTACAGTGGGAAAGAAAAACTCCCTTTCAACAGGAAGAAACCTCCAGCAGAACCAGGCTCAGGGGAAGCAGCCATGTATAGAATGGCACAATATTTGGACTTATTTTCAGAAGTTTTATAACTCTTTCCATGGATAAAGACTTACCACATGGTCATTCAACAGAATAATGTAATAAGTAGCTTTTTCAACTATTTATGTCATTAAAAAATTCAGTTTTTACAAGTGGTCCACAGTGTCAAAAGAGAGAGAGAAAAAAAGGGTGAATACCATGTGAATTAACAAAAACTATATAGTAGCCTTTAAACTTTTGTTTTATAATTACAGGACAATCTGGGCAATGATGAGATTTACTCGTCCGGCCTGCCTAAGATCAGAATGGGCTGTATGTGGCCCACGATATTTGACATCCCTGATTTGGATGGTCGAGCAGAAAGACCACAATAATCTGAGGTGGAATGACTCCAGAATGAGCTGATGTTGGACTGTGTCACAGAGAAACCAAAGCAGTGCTCCTGCTTTGTGTGACTGACTTGCAAATAGTGACTCAGCCCTGCAGCTTGTATACATGGGTGTCAGTAACAATAGATTTTAAGAGCTGGAGCTGACATGAAGATGGCGGTGTAGCCAAACCATTAGTACCAACACATTCACCGTGTCAAATTTGCAGACATGTTGGTCGTGTATAGTTTGCTGAAAAGGAAGGCAGTGTTCATAGAGTAAATTTACTACACGAGCGGTTCAGTTATAAGAATGGCTCCCACGTAAGCCAGACATGAGCTCATGTGTTTATATTGGTTGATACTAATTTATACTTTAATTAATAGGCTTCAACACCACAAGCACCATTGGGAAATCCAGTCCACGAGTCAAGTTATTTGTGATACTATATTTATGTCTGTCTGTGTAGGGTAAAGGCCTGAATAACAACCAACACAGACATGCTTGTGTGCAGTCTGTTGGCAACAGCAGCCGTTGGTGCTGCGCGGGGACAGAAAGGTGATAAGTTTATTTCAGTTTATAGTTCACCACGAAGAGAAAGAAGTGAAGAAAAACCATTAAAGATCAAGAAAGTTTACATGAGAACTCTGGAAAGTGGATTTTTTAAAATTGTTTTTAACACTCATTAAGCTAGAGGACCAATTACAGCACAGATGCAAATGTTAGTAGCCCTCAGACAAGTTGTTCCAAAAGACTTTAACACTGCCCCCTGGTGTGAGTCTACAGCTATAGCATGTAGAAATGTGAGGATCTAGATATCAAAGTAGCATTGCCACTAATGATGGACACTTTAAAACTTTAAACAGGTTCAAGCCAAAACTTTATTTGGTTTTTTTTACTGCACGTTGACTTCATTTTTTTAGCCAAAGTATTAAAAAAAAGTTAATTAAAGTAAATCCCTGTTGTTTTAAATCTGAACCAGTCTTTCTTTCAATATAGGAAAATTTCACTTTCAATATTTATTTTCCAGTTCACAGAAACGAATCAATTCCCAAATCCTCCACAACTCATGTTTCCAAAAAACAAATATGTCCTCCAGCATTTGAGAGTATTATGCAACCCTTTTAAATGTTTTAATGGGACCCTGTGTGCCCGTGTAGGAAAGAAAATTCAATTTTGGTAAAGATATAATAGTTTAGGCCATTAGACTGACGGTGATGCAGCTTTTGTAGTTTTGCCTCTGTGCACCGTCGCTGT